TAAATTTGTAGTAGTTCATAAATTATATATATATATATATATATATATATATATATATATATGTTTTATTTTATTCCTGTGTGTATAATATTGTATTGAGATTGTATTGTACTTTGATAACAATAAAATTATTTTTACATTAAAAACATAGTTTTTCCCACAATAATGGACGCCATCTTGGAATTTATCATGATGACGTCATCATTCCGATCAAATTTTTAAATGAGAGTGATGAGTAACTATATAGCCAAGATTTTAATACATTTCATATCCACAGTATATGTAAAAGTGACCAAAAACATAAAGTTATTTCCCCTACCCCCATTTTAAATAGTTTAAAATAGGGTATTTTAGGCCAAAATTTCAAAGTGCTGTAAAAAAAATTGCCCAAGCCCTATGCATGGGGATTTTTTTTCTGAGACACTATAGGGTATGTTGATTCAGAAAAACCGAAAATTAATTTTCCTTTACTTTTTTCCCGCTAAAATTCATTTCAGCAGTTATACAACCAGGCTAATATCCAACATACCCTATTTCAGTTTTCCATGACAAACGTTTAAAATGGATCATAATTCGTGCTATGCACGGCGCGCCGTGCTCGATGCACTGCCGCGGGTAGACTTGCCACAAGTCTCTTATTTGTTATTTTTCTCATTCTGGACAGCGCCACCAACGAGAAAAATAATTTAGTGATACACGGAATAAGTAATTCGAAAAAAAAAGAAATCGAGTATGGGACGCCAATTAAATTAGGTATGGTGCGCACTAAGTGCAATAAAGAGTGAGTAAACTAAAATTAGGGCCTGGAACCCAGGCTATGCCGCGGGCTGTGTGGTTGTGGTGAGTGGTTAGTATAGTGGCCTAATACTAGGCCGTGAGTGCATCATTTGAACTACAGTACTGTATACTCACAGCCCTTCTCGGAGGAGGCAAGCTAGGAAAACCAAGTTTATGTTTTTGTAAAAAAAAATATGTTAAAAAGTGGCTGTATGGTAGACAAATTTCTGTATTGAAAAAGCAACAGGGAAAATATTATTATTGTAATATTACGAATAAGTTAAAGAAAAAGGCCAGGTTATATATTATGTTAATAGGAAGAGTAGTATAGTTACAACTATCAATTCAACATCATGATACAAATATTGGCCAGTTTCTTTGGTCTAATTAGATTTTTTTTTTGATCGAGTTCCTAGTCCACATATTAAGCGCCCTGAGCATCTTACACTAGATGGATATGTGCGCTATATAAAACTACACTATTATTATTATTATTATTATTATTATTATTATTATTTTTTTTTTGTTTTGTTTTGTTTTTTTTTTTTTTATTTATT